TTACAATGTAGAATCCAGTCATTTATAGTTTACAAATGACAAAATGTTTACAAAATCATGACAGTGTTTACATGATATCAACCACTACTAACATTACTTTATTTACTGTATCTTTTGAAAAAATACAGCAATTTTAATAGCACAATACTTAAGAATATTTAACAGGAGCAGGTTTCATATTTCCCTGGTTTTATTATCACACTGTTCACCAAAACGCAGCAAACCTTCACCATCTTATCCAGAAGGGTCACCTCTTCACCCTCACATGGAAGAAGTAATCTGATTGGCATGGTGGTATGTTTGAAGCAGGTCCCTTGTGTAGCGCTGGAACCCAGTCACGATGTGTTTCATCCATTTCATAGGCTGGTTTGCTGCAATAATGCCAAATAATTAGCAAGTCTATAAATAGAAGGTGGTTCTACAAAATCACTCAGTAGGATGTTTGTTCTAATTTGCTATGAGCTCAGAGTGCATCGAAAATAAAACTAATAGGCTATAAAGAGTGATATGAACATATTTAGAACTTACCGGAATGAAACTGTCTGGAGCACCAACAGATATTTGGAGATGGAAGAGAACTGGAGCTCGTCTCACAGCTGCTATCCAGGCTACACGCCTTCGTTTGCTAACATTGATACATGAGCTGCCTCGTGTTGCTTCCAGGTTGGGAAAGAATGAAAAGATAAACCATTTTCAAGCTTATTCTCTTGCCGGTCGTGCGATCGAACATTGCAGCCGACCACACAGCAAATACGAACCGTGGCTGTTGTGTGTGCCTTCGCTCCCTTTTCACTTGCGGTAGACCCCGAAAATGGCGGATCGAGCCAAAATCCTTTCCACGCCCACCCCCGTGACATCACGCTCCAAAGCCCTATCTAAATCCCAGTAACGATAAACGCGTTCTTGATTTTGGCATAATAACTAGTTATCGTGCTCGTTACCACAATAATAACGTACTTACTTAATAACGCGTTAGTCTCTACACTGCTGGAGACAAACCTGACAAGCAGAGACCCACAAACAAGCAGCAACCGAAGGTGGTTGGAGTAAAGGCCTGGGAGGGAGGGGAAAACAGCTTTCGGTGAGGGGTTTTGTTTTGTTTTTTTTGTTGTTTTTTTTACATCATCTCTGTTGTGTACATGCTTAAAGTTGATCACAGAAAAAATATTTTAAAAATACAAGCAAAAAAAAAAAACCCTACTGGACTGGAGATTGTGACCCTTGGAGTGGTTGTAAAATTGATTCGGTGGGAGTTTTTAAACAGAGCTTAAAGCTGATTTTTAGTTCTCTGGGAATGTAGATGTAATGAGAGTTCAAAAATGCAGAAAAAACCAAGGCGATTTATAAAGTATTATAGTTCAACCATCTCTCATATACTTCAAGGGCCTGTAACTTGGAATAGTGTGATAGGACTTCATGAAATATGCCAAAATTATGCAAATAAACCAGATTTTAAGGAGGTTGGGTAGGAAGCACTGATTGAGTCCCCATGGAAAGACCAAGGCAGATAACAAGGCAGATAGCAGAATGATAATTTTTCTATTATTTGCTTATTAGTTGATATGTTTGTTATTGATAAATAAAAAAAAGAGATGCCACACAACAATATCATTAAGTGCTGACAGTGTAATTTTTTTTTATTCAGGAAGTGAAAAAAGAGGGTAATGCAGAGACAGAGCAGTGTCCAGCATACAGTGCACAAGATGTTTACAAGCATGCCAGGCAGCGCCACACTCGTCTCTCACAGTATCTACACACCCTGTCACAGCATGGAGACACCGAGACTGGATCACCGACTGAATTTCAATCTCTAAATCTTAACTTCCGGTTGGTGTACACGAGAAACAAGCCACAGGACATCTCCCAACAGGATACAGAAATGTGCAAACTAGCAGAGAGATCCCCAGACACTTAACAGATAAAGAGCGGTCTGAGCCAATTAGCTGAACTTCTCAAAAGATTTTAGCTCAGGCATCCATGAAGGAAACCTATGTCAGAGCTACTTGAGCTAAAGGTTGATAGGCCTAAGCTGACACAAGTCTCTCTACATGGTACATTATCAGAGTAAACCTTAAAAAAAAAACAAAAAAAAAAACCTAAACAAACTCCAGAAGCAAGTCTACCGCATGCATCGATTTCCATTTAGGCATGGAAAAGCATACATGCATTCACCAACCTCAATGATGATCATCCATCACATGCTTAAAACACTAGAGGAAGCCCACATGGAGCGAACCAACACCCTGTTTTTAAAATGTCACCTACAGACAACTTTTCATTAACCTAACCCCGACTCATAAGTGCTGCAATTTCCTACTTATAGTAGCTGGACCGCAGTGAAGCGGTGCCACATTTTTGTT